GATTGGTCGCTGGTTTCAAACCGCGGCGGCCCGGGTTCGATCCAGGTCTGGTCAAGTGGGATTTGTGGTGGACAAAGTGACGCTGGGGAAAGTTTTCTACGAGTACTTCGGTTTCCTCTGCCAATCTTCATTCCATCAATTGCTCCACAATCACCCCCACTCATCATCTGGGGCTGAAACAATAGGCCAGAAATGGCCTCAGTACAAGGGACTTATCTTCACCCCACTAGCAATGAAAAAAAAACAGTAATGCAACAATAGTGATTATGGTTGCCACAGTAACGAGAGTAATGAAAGTTGTATTACTGTTGTTAAAGTGTTCATCACAATTAGAATAAACGAAACTATAATTTTGCCTGTGGTTCTGTATGGGTGTGAAACTTAGTCTCTGACATTAAGGGAGGAACATAGACAGAGGGTGTTTGAGAACAGGGTGTTGAGGAAAATATTTGGACCGAAGAGAGATGAAGTGACAGGAGGTTGGAGAAAACTGCATAATGAGGAGCTTCATAACTTGTACTCTTCTCAAAGTATAATTAGAATGATCAAGTCAAGGAGGATGAGGTGGGCAGGGCATGTAGCATGAATGGGGGAGACGAGGAATGCGAATAGGATATTGGTGCGAAAGCCAGAGGGAAGCCACTGGGAAGACCAAGGCGTAAGTGGGTGGACAATATTAAAATGGATCTTAGAGAGATAGGAAGGGATGGTATGGATTGGGTAGATGTGGCTCAGGATAGGGACCAGTGGAGGGCTCTTGTGAACACGGTAATGAACCTTCGGGTTCCATAAAATCCTGGGAAATTCTTGAGTAGCTGCAGAATTGGCGGCTTCTCCAGAAGGGCTCAGCTCCATTAGTAAGTAAGTAAGTAAGTAAGTAAGTAAGTAAGTAAGTAAGTAACGTGTTCATCAGAGCTATTTGGAACAACTAGCATTCAGAATGCTGAGGATAATATTTGGACTGAAGAGAGATGAAGTGACAGGAGGTAGGAGAAAACTGCATAATGAGGAGCTTCATAACTTATACTCTTCTCCAAGTATAATTAGAATGATCAAGTAAAGGAGTATGAGATGAGCAGAGCATGTAGCACAGAGGGGAGAGAAGAGTAATACATATAGGATGTTGGTAGAAAAGCCAGAAAGAAGGAGACCACTAGGAAGACCAAGACGTAGGTGGGTAGATATTATTGAAATGAGGAATGCTATTTTCTGGGATTTGGCACCGTGTAGATCTTGTGTGATCCGACGTTTCGGAGGAACGTATCTCCTCCATCTTCAGGGTAGAACAATCGATTAGCGAGGAACCAGCGTGAGCAGTTGGCTACAGCCACCGGTTTATAGGAACATTTAATCGACATTTACACTTAGAACAATTCATATTCATTATTAAATGCTATTTTATAAGAATATGCGGTTACTCCCACGGTAACTTTTGTCCGTAGTAAGCCACAAGATATTTTATTCCTTGTGAAAATTGACTGAGCGGGTTCTTGGAGTACAAAGCGTGCTCTCCTTTGCAAGAGCTGATTCTGCGGCATTTGAAACGTGGTGTCTTCAAGACCTGGAACTCATCAAGAGAGCAACATCATAGCCTTTATAAACACCTATCAAGTCTGCCATGATAATTTAAACTTTAGTTAGCTATCTCGCTAATGGGCTTTTAAGGTCGAACATTAAAGTATAATAAAAGCTGTAATATGCTTAACAGATCCTTAAACTGCGGATCTATACGTCTTACAAAGAAACTCTCTTCGAGACCGTATATTTATACGACCAATGTGTCATGTCTCGTGGTGTGACGAAATGCTTTCTACTTGTATATAATATTTTAATTGCGTATTCGTGAACCACATCATGAAGTAAACCTGTACTGATTTACTTGCACGGGATATCTTTGTAGCCTTGTTTTGTATAAAAATTGCAGGGGTTGTAAAGTGACTAAGTAAAAAGAAAAGGTAAAGCTATCCCTGTAACAGTCCGTGAAGGCCCATAGGTTTTGTGAGACGTCGAGGTTCCCAGGAAGATTCGTGGTAAACATTTCTGTTAGAGGCTGAGTCGACCCCAGGGCCATAGTATGGATGTAAGGATTAGGTAAATTGCAAAAAATTCCACATCGTTACTCGAACCCGCGACCTTCCGGCTTGTAGCATAGTTCCTCAACCAACTGCGCTACCGCGTGCCCAGAGTGACTGAAGTATAATTGTTAAAATATTCCTGAAGGCTATATCAGCCTTTGAAAAATAACTCGATGCGAAAGAGTTAAATTACAGGCCCTATCCTGTGTCTACACAGCTTGTGTATTGTGTCATATCATGTAATTGACTAATATTCATTTGAATAAGATGCTAGGTATGGTTCATATGTATAATTATTCAGTTTTCCAATAATATTATGAGATTTACTCCCTGTAGATAGGTGGATGCCGGTCACGGTAGCCGAGCGGTCTAAGGCGTGCACTGTCTTCGCTCGCTTAGAAGCCTGGCTCGTGGGTTCGAATCCTACTCAGGGCATGGATGTTTGTGTGCGTTTTTCTGTGTTTGTCTACAGGTAGAGGCCTTGCGACCAGCTGATCACTCGACCAAGTAGTCCTACCGTATGTGTAAGATCTAGTAAACCGAAGTGAAACGGAGAGTTTCATGGAGGTAGGCCTAGGCCCAAATTGGGGCTGTAGCGCCACAGGAAAAAGATGGGTGGATAATAATAAAATGGTTCTTAGAGAGAGAGAGAGAGGATGAGATGGTGTAGATTGGATTGATCTGGCTCGGGTATGGACCAGTTGAGGGCTCTTGTGAACATGGTAATAAACCTTCGGATTTTTTAAAATGCTGGGAAATTCTTGTAGCTGCAGAATTGGCGGCTCGTCAAGAAGGGCTTCAATTGTAAGTTTTGAGGTTTTCACGGCGATGACTATGAAGAAAGTCGTCTTCTGGGTTTAGGCGCCGTGTAATCTTAGTTTTGGCCAAAACAAAGATTACACGGCGCCTAAACCCAGAAGACGACTTTCTTCAAGGGCTTCAATTGTTTAAATTTGATTTGGTTCATTCTGATCCGTCACTCTAGCAATATTTTAAAAGGTTATCAACTCCATTCAGTGTGACTGATGAATTGGTTCTAAATTTTAAGAAAATCATGTTAAACCACGCTTGTAAACAAACTAATTATAATAATCTTCAAATATTTTAATATATTGTCGCGTGTTGGGTAGGTGACGCGGCAAATAACTTCACGCCGCTCTGGATCTAGCGAATTTATTGCATATTCTCTTTTACATTTACACAATTTACAGTCTCACAACTCCTGCCATCTGCAGTATCACAATTACTTCTCCTGCTTCCATTCACTCCGGCTAATGCTAGACTGCAACTGACTGGTTACTCTCTCTCAAAGTCAAAGTCAAAGTCACATTGTGCCTGACGGTCAGTCAGTCATAGAGTCTTGGTGTCGAGCCCCATTTGGGGCTCATGATGAGACATTAATTATTACCGTTTGACAGTTACGGTCTTGCTTCTGTGGGGCGCCCTCTCTGACGAGAGGACGGGTCTGTCTTCTGTATATGCTGCTGGCCCTTCTCAGTGCAGTCTTTCTTGGGTCGAAGTCCCTTGGGACTTGGGACCATATTTTACTGTCTCTGATTTGAGACTTCCCTTTTCGTTGCCTCCTACGATTCGCAGGGTCACCGTGAAGGTATTCGTGGTAACTCGTTCCACCTCCCGTTGCCCAGCAACGGTTAGACATGTCACAATATTCATTCAAATCGCTGTAGTTTTAAAGGATCACATTATGTATTCATGACATTGTGATGATATTTTATGTATGTATTGATATTGACCAATCATATTGTAATAATAGTTTCTGCCTGTATTGATATTTCCTTCTGAAGATGGTCCCTCAGACAGAAACATGACAAGAATGAAAGATTAAAAACAAAATTATCAGCCACAATGGACGGAGTTGATAACCTTTTATAACGAATTTTTCTACTTTCATCTGTTTTCCAGACGATGCCACATCCATAAAATATGATTTAAAATAGTCGCCGTGAAGGTTGTGCTTGAAGTCATTTTAACTTAATAACAAAAGATATCAAAGGAGTCGGGATAGCTCAGTCGGTTCCCAACAGGGGCGTGAAATGTTGCTCTTCTACACAGCATCTAGACCGGCTGTCGGGCTCATCCACCCTCCTATACGCGTACAGTGGGTACAGGAGTTTTTTAAGCGGAGGTAAAGCGACGGGGGCGTGAAGCTGAAAACTCACCTGCATCTAGTGCTGAGGTCAAGAATGATGGAGCTATACCTCCAACCACACATTCGTCTTCATGGTGTGGTGCTTAACAGATTAAGCACAGGCACAAATTTACCTTTACCAAAGAAGACTAATCAGATTAATACATTCGTATTTTTTTCTTGCTCAGTTTTAACCAAAGTAAAATAAAGGCCTTTTGTGTGAAAAACGAACATAGGTCTTCTTGATAAAGGATAGTTTTCCTAGCTACTGAACCAATAGGAGTCGTACATGTGAACATTATACCAATATTTCGCAATATGAAGGCATTTCAAATAATTATTTAATCACCGAAGTAGAGGAATGGACATTGGTTTTAAAAAATCGCAGTTAGCCTTGTTGTCAACGTTATAGAATGGCTCTGTATTTGAAACAATTCACATTCTGATAAGCCCCCATCTCACATTTCTTGTATATGGGGTCCACCCAAGCCTCCTATCCAATCTATATTGGGGGTATTTTCTCCTGGGGTAAAGCCTAGAGCGCCGTGAAACTGACCACTCACCTCCATCTACTGCCGAGGTCAAGAATGGTGGAGCTATACCTCCAATCCCTCAAATGTCTTTATGGCATAGTGCTTAACTAATGAAGCAGAGGAAGAACCATTTAACTTACAACTACATCTGACACGTTTCAGTGTTCAAAAGAATAATAGACTTTGGTGTACTCTTTGCATGACAACTCGATATTTATTAAATTAAACAGATTTATTACATAATTTACGTGGAACAAATTGTCGTCTGTACGCGGGTCCGGAACATCGTTGTCCTCATCGTCATCTGATAATAAATATTTGTAGGACGCAAATCCCCAGGGCGCCCTGTTGAGGTTGTGACATTGGAAGCGGGCTCAAGGCATTGTCCCTGTCTTCTTCTTTGCCATTTAGCCCTCCGTTCGCACTTTCTGTGCATATACAAGATGTGTTTTTCGTTATCGACAAATCCAAACGTTCGTTATAGGCGTTACTTCCACTTAAATCTGTTGAAAGCAGTCCCACCTACAGCATCTGTGTAATTCGTTTGTAGATGTCGTATTTTTTACAGTAAATTTACTGCCAGGCGTCGTTTCTATTTTTTCCCGCAATTCATCTGACTTTGACTCATGGCCCTGGAACTTGTTGCCATCTCTTGCACTTCGAAATTTATCTTTATCCTCTCTATTTTTATAAACAAGTTTCTGAGACAAACAATCAGACACTCTCGGCCTCTCCTTTGGGATATTGCAAATGGAAGTACTGTCGACTGGAGAATTATCTTCCTCCCAGATTTCGGCATATGTTTTAATTATGAGTATGTCCTACTCGTACTGCTCCGTTAAAGTGTCATCATTGTTTGAATCACCTTTTCCAGTAAGTACCAGTGTAACTGAATCGCCAGAAACAATTCTGTTTTCTTTAAAACTACAATCTGATTTAAAACGTCTCTCCCTTCTCTGAAACATGACTTCTGAAGTGTTGCTCTCATGTTTCGCGTCATATCCATTCTTAAAATTCTTCGCGCTTACAGCAACACCAGATTTGGGGTTACGGTTGGTTGTCTTGGATAGGATCAGAGCTCGAAGACTAGTGACTGCGACTCTGGCCCAACCGGAAGCAGCAGCCTTAAGCTCTGGTTTCCGAGGTTTACTCTTGTGGACACAGTTGGCTGCTTCATCGGGCTGAGAACACTTCTGCGTGCGAATCTGCAAGATTTTAAAACGCAAGTCCTGCTGGTTTTTGTTCTTCTTAGAGCAAGTTGATGCAGTCGCCCATTTTCTGTGTAGCTGTGCTTTTCCCATGTCACATTTTTTGGGCGGTACAGAGGAGTTTTTGAGGTGAGAGAAGCATCGTTGTTTGTGACCGCCACGAGGCTGGTTCTCCCAACGACACGGAATCTTCTTACGGTATGTTTCCAGTAACCGATGTCGGACATCGAAATGTTGGTTCACACCTTCTCCTGGCTTCCAGAAGGAGTTCTTGTGACGGCCATAACTTTTCTTGGGTGTGTCCATGCTCCTATTTACAGGCACCACCTAAAAAAATAAATAAATATGTAGGATAAGAAATTGTGAATTAGTAATTAAATATTGCTATTCAGGGAACAAAAATTCAAATTACAACTTTCGTGACTTTGGTACATTATTAAAAATACATTTTTTATAAATTCGCTTAGTGGAGGGTGGTGTCCACCTGGGTCCACTCGGCACGGCGGCTACTGATTGGCCTATTGTAGCCTGCCCCTCGTGTTTATTACGATGGAGAGTTTGGTGGAATGAATTTTGGCAGGGGAAACAGAAGTACTCGCAGAAAACCCACCCCACTGCCACTTTGTCCACCACAAATCCCACTTGACCAGACCCGAGATCGAACTCGGGCCTCCGCGGTGGAAAGCCAGCCACTAAATGCTTGAGCTATGGCGCGGTCTCTCTGGTACAATAACATAATTATTAACCTTTCGGACATTATGCATTGGACGATGAATTTACAGCAACGAATTGGAGAGTGGACTCTGCCTACATCCTGAGATAATTATTTTTTAATTTAAAGCAGGGTTAAGGAGACTGGACTCTTCCTCCGCCTTCCTCCCGCAGATTTAATTTGGTTTATATTCCATGCCTTGTGTTTGTTCTGGTAGCCAGAAATAGGGACTAAATTTAGGACTGTCTATGTAGGCTTCTTGCCTGAGCACGGTGACAGATCCCATTCTCCGAAACGTTGTTTTAAATAAAAAACACTGCAATGGATAGTGTCCATAAATATAATTTCCATATGTCCATAAAGTTCATAAATATAATTAAATAAATCGAATGTGACGGCATAAGTATTATCTCACTTCCGACACCAAATATGTCACGTGTAGGGTGGTACGCGTGACGAAATGACGGGTTCTATTTCGGATGTTTGGATTTGTTAACAATTTGGTTGCACACTATCTCTTAATTACTCTTAAATACAGCGCTCTCGCTGATATACACACATTCCACTTCACCATTGCACACGCACTATAATTCTCTGTCTTGCCCTAGTCGTCTCCTAGCAACGGATCTCCACACAAGAACTCTCACTTCAAATCACTACTAATATTACACATACAATCTTCCAATCACACTTTACATCCTCACTGACCGACCTGTTGTATCCTTCTATAGTTCTGGTTCTAATTATCTTACTTCTGCCACTAGTTCCGCCACGGCTACCTTTCGTCAGGTCTGGCCTTCGTCAGGGGGGCGCGTTGTAGCGTAGTGGTTAAGACACTATGCTACAAGTCGGAAGGTCGCGGGTTCAAATACCGATGGGGTCATTGGATTTTTTTTCAGTTGACCTAATCCTTCTGGCCGCACTATGGCCCTGAGGTTCACTCAGCCTCTAACCAGGAATTAAGTAAATAATTTTCCTGGGCATTAAAGCGCGGCCGGCGCGTAAGGCTGACAAACTTCCCGCCATCTTTGAGCCGATTTTCTAGACAATGTGGGACCCTCAACGTCTCACAACCCTATGGGCCTTCACGGCCTGTTACAGGGATAGCTTTACTTATTTTTTCACTTCGTCATGTAGCTTCGAATCTGACAGCGTGGAAATGTCGCGAGTAACAGTACTGTTACGTAATCTAAGCGGTAAAGACGTCATCGCGGAGCATCCACGTATGAAACACGTCAACACGACACGTAACATACACTCCAATGGTGCAGTAAGACGTCATTGCGCATGCGCAGAAGTCTTTTTTTCCAAGGCAGGTGTTAGAAGCGGGTTACATAACCTCGTTCCTCTGTTGTATAACTTAGCAACTGAATGTTTATCAATTGTTTGTCTTCGTGGTAACTCCTTCAACATCTCGTTGCACAACAACGCGTTGACCTGTTACCTTACTTTCACCTTAGATTTACATGGTTAATTTTGTGCACGTAAACTTTTGTTTCCCTGGTGGAATGCATCCATCCATCCATCCATTCATCCATCCATCCATGACTCTGCAGTCTTTTTTGTTGGACCTTGGCCCCTTCTTCAGTTTCTTAATCCTATACACAGTCGGTAGGACTCCTTGGACGGGGGATCAGCCCGTCACAAGGCCGCTACCTACATACAGAACAACACAAACACGTAATAAACGCAAACAGATATCCATGCCTTGAACGGGATTCGAACCCACATTTGCAGCGTTCGAGCGAACAAAGATAGTTCATGCTCCAAGCGGCGCGGCCATTGTGATCGGCTTCACGGTGGAGGACTGGACTCCTATTGCTCTTACTTACCAATAATTATAATAAGCTTGTTCTTGGCAGTCTTCTTCAATTATTTACAGAGCTTTACAAGTCTGGAGTCACTATAGCAACGGCCTATTGTTAGAATGGTCCGATTCCTGGCAAGGGCAAAAGTTTTTTCCTCCGTCCCACAGCTCCCAGACTGGCTCTGGGATCCACTCAGCCTCGTAACCAATAGTTACTGCAGGCTCATTCTGTTGGGTTAAAGATGACCAAGCATCTCTGTCTAGTGTCGTGTTCAAAATGGTGGAGATACATCTCCATTCCCTCATACTTCTTCATGGCGTGGTGCTTAATTAATTAATTAATAATTTAATTAATCAATCACAGGAGAAACTTACCTCTCTTTTTTGCTTTCCAACTCTCTCCATTCAGCTACGCTTGGAATTGCTGGTTACTTATTTATCCTCCACTCTCCACCACGTTTAAACGGTCGACTGTTCTGATGTGACAGCACTGGAGCACGCAGGTGGACCTCGCTGCTTTTATAAGTATAACCTGCGGGAGGTGGGGGACAAGAGGGGAAACTTGTGACATAACAGTAGACACGTTGTCATCGCGTAATCGTATCGTGTATTGCCCGACTGATTACGAAATCGCAAGATTCATGTCACAATACTGTGGTGTAGAATCCGGCTGCTAAGCAGTAACTCCATAAACAGCATCCGTTGCTAGGTTACGCTCGTAACATACACGCACACAATAACAGAAGCACGGTAATTTTTTGCGTGGTTTTCACCTGTACAGCAATAGAGGGACTGTTTTCTGCGAGGCTTTTTCTGTTGTCGAAGCAGAAAAACGTGTCGGCAGGATGTATTGAAGCACACTGTTTTAATTTCAGCCTTCCATAAAGATTGTCCTGACATCTGACTTTTTCATGGATATTCGTACATCATTTGTATCATCTTAATTTTATAGTAGGGGAAAAAGTAAACTTGTTCTATGGGTATTCGAAACTCTTCCTTTGTTATCGTTATCGGCCGTAATAGCTTCATTTTACTGTGAGAAACAGCATGAATTTTGCTGTGTAGATATTATGACTTAATAAAGATTTAGGCTAATTTAACTCGAGTGCCAGAGTGGTGGAGTGGTTAGCATTGGTGGGTAATAATTAGTCGGTTTGGGTTCGAATACAGAGTCTGTAAATTGTGTACATATTTTTATTGCATGTTTGTTTAGACTTCATGGGTTCTATTGTAAATTTTTATGTTGTTATGCATTTAAACTTGTTTTCAAGGAACGAATGTACCGATTGGTGGTAGATAATTAATCCTCATTCCCTTTGAGGAATTAGAACGGTTTCTTTGTTTTAGTTTTTGTAACGTAGCCAAAATTAAGTTACCCAACACTTAACCGTTTTATTACCTGCCATTCGTCATTAGAAGCTGTTGGATATCAGAATTCTAGTTGGAAAACTGAGAAACTTCCATAAATTTAAACTTCGTTTTCACGTAATAAATGTCTTGCTCGACTCGCCTTAGCAGCAAATGAAATATGTAACACGGTGAATAGGTTCAACAGTTACTTCTTGAACGTTAAGCTTCTGACTACTTTGCTTAGTGTGTGTTTACAGTATTTTGTTACAGTTATTGTTATTACAAAATCGTGCTTCTCCGGCGTCTTGTATAAAGTAGAATATCTTATATTTTTGTCCTATATTTATCCTACATACTTCTTTTTTCGGCCTTTTTTCCATATTTTTAAAAAAGAGGAGTAAGCTTATGAGATCGCTTTGCTGCTTATGTATGTGTGCCTGTGCCTGTATATTATTTTTTTTCCTTGGCACTACAGCCCCAGTGGGCCTAGGCATACGTCCATGTACTCCATTCACTTCGGTTTTTCTCGATCTTACACATTCGGTAGGACTCATTGGGCGAGTGATCAGCTCGTCTCAAGGCCTCTACCTGTACACAAACACAGAAAAACGCACACAAACATCCGTGCCCTGAGTGGGATTCGAACCCACGATCCCGGCTTCTGAGCGAGCGAAGACAGTGCATGCCTTAGACCGCTCGGCTGCCGTGACCGGCACCTATATATTAATTGCCACTGATAATTCTCCATCGCCTTTACCGGCGTTCATGAAACTTGGCGTGCATATCTATGGTTCCTGAGACCGTCACAATTGAGGGCTTCAAAAATCTCTCTCATTATTAATACCAGCACTGAAACCTCTCAGATCGTTGAGGTAATAATCTTAAAATGACTTGAATGCGTCGACTGATTGTCATGAAATCTGGCCCTGGAGAAAATTTCCACTCTAAATTGTATTATTACATTCGCAGCTTCGGTTCTAAATAACTCTAATCTAGGGTATTATTTTGTAGGTTCCATTATGCATACATATTAAAGTTTTCCTTTCCACTTGTCATATCAGATACTCTTAGCTGATTACAGTGGCCACGCGGTCTAAGACATGATCTAACTTCGCTCGTTTGAACATTGGGATCATTGGTTCGAATGCTACTTGAGGTATAGCGGCCTCCGTAGTCTAGGGGTAACGTTCCCACCTCATGACTCAAGGTACGCGGGTTCAAACCCGGTGGAGGTCGTGGAATTTTTAAGGGCGGAAAAATTCAGGGAACAAGTCCTCCGGGAGGGATCTTAAACCGTGGGTCCCGTGTCGTAGATTTACGGCACGTAAAAGGTCTTCATGTCTCTAGGAGACCTCTGGGCAACAATTTCTCGCCCAAGTAGTTTCCAATGCCTCTGGTAAATGGGGTACCGACGGCCGACCTCGTTGGCTGAACGGGGCTGATAGCACGCACCAGTACCGGTAGGGTATGGCGACAGTAGAAATTAAAGGGGGACGCACAATGGACCAATAACTAGTCCAAGTGCGTGGGGAAACCCACCCCCTCTAATAATAATGATAATAATAATAATAATAATACTTAAGGTATGGATGTTTGTGTTGTGAGTGTTTATTCTATGTTTACGTTGTTCTATGTGAAGGTAGCGGCCCTACGAAGGGGTGATACCCGTCCAAGGAGGACTTATTTATAAGAAAGCAACGGCCAATTATTTCTAGATTTTCTTTCCCTCTCAAATTTGAGGATATTAAATGCTTCTATGTAGATGAATTGCGAATTGAAAATAATAATAATTTAATTCAATGTTTTATACGATTTCGTGCTTGCTAAACAGCCCACATACGTGTAGAATAACAATGCTGCATATTTGCTCAAAGCAAAAACTGCGGAGCCAGAGAAACGGCCTTTGCTAGCGAACGGCTCTGAAACAACATTAGTTTCTAGGCAACAACTACGAAAAAAGAAAACGAGACAAACAGCCTTTACTAGGCAGCCACCAGCGCTCCAATGGACTGGCTGAGTAGCGATCACTTGGCAACCCAACAGACACGAATACAACAATGATGCAGAAACAGAGGATGGTGTTTTCTGCGTGGTCCATGCCGAGAAGTTATAACCGAAGTGGTTTGGGGCGACCAGTCATTTTCAAGAACGTTCAGTTAAAAGCCCAGCTCTGAAGAGAAGAATTTATTTGTGATATTTGGACAGTGTAATTCAATGAGGCTGTTATAGTTATTGTATTAAAATCCGCTGCCAGGAAACGGCTAGTGGAGACTATATAATAGACTGAGGCCATTAGTCTGTGTGTGAGACAGTGATCTGCAAATTGTAGTCACGAGCCGTGAGTGTTCAAGTGGTCAATAAATCCAATATCCAATCCAAAACCGCACTTATAGTCACTCAGAAGCGTGACATTATTGATGATGATTTAATAATGATGAAGATGATAGTAACAATTGTGACATGTTGCGCAACGGAGGACCCGTACCTCCCCAGCGCCACGTGGCGGTAACGTAGCGCTCTCGTAATAAGCGAGTCATCACCCCGCCACTCTCCCCGCGGTGACGTGCCGAGCGGAGCCGAAGTTAGCCGAGTCCCCGCAACCTGGTAGATTAGTGCTAGGCAGCAACAGCGGTGACGTCACCAAGGGATATCGCGGTTGCTAGGCAGCAGTCAACAACTACGGATATGGTGGTATATGGTGGTCAGCTTCACGCCCCTGGCGCTTTACCTCCGGTGAAAGAGGCCCTGATACCTACTGGACAGGGGGCTGGGTTGGCCCCAGAGACGGGCTGGACGCCGTGGAGAAGACCAAAAAACAGCTTACACTGCCGGGAATCGAACCCGTGCCGTCGAAGTCTGTAGTTCGTCGCCCAACCGACTGAGTTACCCCGACTCTTCGCTCTAAAATGACGACAAGCAAATATCTGTACATAATGAAATCAATACGTCTTTGCGTTTGATAATGGTAACATATTTCTCCCACGGTCCCGAACTCGCTGGCTGCAGATACTATTAATTCTGCGCGTGCGTGGATCTGCCATCTGTAGTCTCTCTGTAAAACATTATATCCTCTACAGAGATTTCGAGCCAGGATAGCTCAGTCGGTATAGAGACGAGGGCGTGCTCGTTGTTAAGAAGCTAACTAATCCCGAGACCAAGAATAAACAGATATATACTTCCACTCCCCATACGTCTTCATGTCGTAATGGTTAATTTGTTAAGCACAAGGAGAACTTTGCAGAGAATCTTGAATTGATTTAGTTACGATTCTGCAAAGTTAAGTCAAATGGGGCTATTTTGTTCCAGAATGGGTGAATTTTATGCCACATCACTTTTATCACATTGTGACGTCATTTTATCGGCTGTATTATTAACTAGAACAGACAGCAACTTATTTTCTGTTTCAATTACAGTACAGCTGCTACAGTGACGTCAGGTTGTTAGGAAACTGACATAGCAGTCACCCCTTCTGGCTGTCAATTTATCACTCTATTTAATTAGTATAACGACATGAACACATATGGAAAAGTGGAGATAAACTCCGCACATTCTTAAACTCGACAGCAAATGGGAGGTGTGTGGTCAACTTCACGCCTCGTCCGCTTTGCCCCCAGGGATAGAATTCTCGGAAGCCACTACATAGGAGGTTCAGTTGGTCTTATTGCTGGTCTGGACCAGGTAGCGAAGAGAGAAAATTTTTACACCAGCTGAGAATCGAACACCAGGTCTGCAGTTCGTAGCCTAGTCACTATACTAGGCTACTGAGGCCTCTCTACTTAAACCATGTTATCGGTCTTAAGGATCTGTATTTGACTTCTCGCGTCCGGCTCAAATGACTTGTGTGGTGCTGAAACTTAATTAGAACGGTGCCTTTATAAACCCGACAAGCATCCATTTCTTAGTGTTACAACCGAAAGCTTTTAGCGGTGGCTTTTACTGCCATCTATTATCCTGCCGCAATAAAGCAGCTTGTGGTGACCCTGCATAAAATTGGTCAGTCACCCAGAAGATACGAACGACAATCAAAGTGAATGCACACAGGTGTTTGACTTGAATATTTTTGTGAAAGAAACTTCTTGCTGTCTCCCAGGCCCACTGTTCTTGCTGTGTTCTATACTTTTCC